TGTCAAAAGAGCTCTAGCCTACTTTACTAATAAGAAAATGACACAGACTTCCTGAAATCCTCTTTTTTGTAACTTATCTAATATCAAAACAAACTGTCAATGTTTCAACACAAATGATTAAAAAAATTTTACAAAACACAAGAGATAGTTTCCACTTTCCATGAGCACATGATAGAGTGTATTTCAGTTATACAGGATATTTGTTCTTTGACAACTCCCCTCTCCCTTCTGAAATATAACTATTCTCTCATAACATTCCCTTCCCTTCCTTCCCTCCCTTCCCCCCCTTCCTTGTCAGGGTCTCACTCTGTCACCCAGGCTGGAGTGCAGTGGCACAATCATAAGTCATTACAGCCTCAACCTCTTGGGCTCAGATGATCCTTCTGCCTCAGCCTTCCAAGTAGCTGGGACTATGGGCGCATGCTACCACAACCAAAAAAACTAATTTTTATTTTTAAATTTTTTATAGAGATGGGGTCTTGCTATGTTGCTTAGGCTGGTCTCGAACTCCTGGGCTTAAGCAATCCTCCTGCTTCAGCTTCCCAAAGTGCTGGGATTACAGATGTAAGTCACTGTGCCCAGCCATAAATTTCTATTTTGAGTTTTATAGCCTAACTTCAGTGCAATTGTATAATTTATTATGACATTTTTCTTCTTAGCTTTTATTTAGACTAGGTGTGAGCTAATAGGACAAATGATTTTCTTACATACTGAGTACCCGCCCAACAATTTTTTTTTGTATTAAATCAGTTCTCTCTGAAAGGATATTTACAGTTTAAATTGTTATACAGAGTTTTTCTAGTTGAAAACATTTAAGTCTCATGTCTATTTTGTCTACGTACCCTCTGTGATTAAAAAAAAAAAAAATTACCTGGCTGTGCGTGGTGGCTCACGCCTGTAATCCCAGCACTTTGGGAAGCTGAGGCAAGAGTATTGCCTGAGTCCAGGGTTTAAGACCAGCCCTGGCAATTTGGCCAGACCTCGTCTCTACAATGAATAAAAAAATTAGCCAGGAGTATTGGCGTGTGCCTGTAGTTCCAGCTACTTGGAAGGCTGAGGTGGAAGGATTGCCTGGGCCCAGGTGGAGGTTGTGGTGGCCCAAGAACATTTCACTACACTCCAGCTTGGGCAACAGTGAGACTGACTAAAACAAAAAATATGTACACTCATATTGAAAAGAGTAGATTTTCTTTTCTCTTGGCTTTTGTTTGGATTACTTTGTTTTCTTTTTGGAATTGGGATTTCTTAATTATATTGTCCAGATTTTGGGGGTCATATTTGTGTTAGAAGACTAGATCCAAATCTTTTGATGTATTATATCTTTTTATTTTATTTTATTTTATTTTAATTTATTTTTTTTTTGAGTTGGAGTCTCACTCTGTCACCCAGACTGGAGTGCAGTGGCCTCTCCTGGCCACTGCAGCCTTGACCTGCTGGGTTTAGGCGATCCTTCCGCCTCAGCCTTCCAAGTAGCTGGAACTACAGGTGCGCGCTGCCACGCCCGGCTAATTTTTTGATTTATTGTAGAGATGAGGTCTCTCCAAGTTGCCCAGGCGGGTCTCGAACCCGCAGGCTCAGGCAATCCACTCACCTCAAGCCTCCCAAGGCGTGGGATTACAGACTGAGCCACCAAGCCCGGTTCACAAACATTATTAAAACACAAAAGTACTTAAAATTATGAACTCTTTAAAAAAAATCATATGGCCCAAATCTCACTACTCTCAAATTCTGAAATCAGAGTTTGAGGTGTTGAGGGTTGTTTTTTGTTTGTTTTTTTTTTGAGTTGGAGTCTCATTCTGTCGCCCAGACT